CAATTTTGTTACATGGGTATATGGTACAGTGGTGAAGTCAAGGCTTTTAATGTATTCAGCATCCAAATGATGTACATGGTACCCATTAAGTAATTTCTCATCCCCTGCCCTCCCTCCCCCCACCCTTCCAGTCTCCATTGTCTGTCATTCCACACTCTGCCACATTTTAAGTTCTAATACCACATGTGGCTAGTGGTATTAGCACAGTTGTAAGCCATTCTCTATTTTCTCTCTCTCTCTCTCCCCTCTTGCTCTCCTTTGAGTTGGTTTCATGGGGAAGACAGAGAATGGGGAATTCCAGCTTCAACTTAAACTCTACTAAGTTTTTCTAAAAGCATTTAATTTTAAATTTTCAAAATGAACAGCAGGAATCCACATAAAGTCTGTAGTTTAGTTAACAGTCCAGCACCGATGGTAGTTTCGTAGTTTTGACAAACATACCATGGTTGTGTTAGCTGTTGACACTAGAAGAAATGGTGAATACAGGAACTCTGTGTACTATTGTTGCAATATTGCTGTCTATCTCAAATCATTTCAAAATAAAAAGTTAAAAAACAGCAATAAAGGAAGCAAGCAATCCAAGAAGATGTGTGTCTTCCGCATAAATAGAAATTCTTACACAGAGTCCCATCATACTGCAAGGCAAATAGTTTTAGGTGGGCCATCTCACCCAAGCGTCCCTTGTAAACACATTCACTTGAAATAAGGCAGCTAGAATAAATGTCATATTTCTTAGTTTTTACCTGAATTTCTATCAATTCAGATAACTCTTTTCTCTCGTGGTGATTATAAGCTGTTTAACTGCTACTTATGTAATAGGAATTTTATTGGAGTAGGAGGGATGTTGGAAAAAAAAAAACAATAAAAAATGCAGGGAACATCACTGAGGCCTGGACACCTGTCAGATTTTAAAGTCCCCTAGCTGCCAGTTCCTTACCTCAACCTCAGATTTAGTCAACACTAAGGTCAAGAGAGTCTTGCTAATCTCCAGTAGCAAGAGAACTTTGGGATGAAGAAATGAATCAAGAAACCTATATTATTAGAAGCAAAAAGTGTGAAACAACCTTATGTACATCTATACAGTTGTCATTTTTCACTTAAGTGTTCTCTGAACAAGTGTTACAAGCTGCTGAAGTCCTCATCTTCTTGTGATGGAAGAATGAAAGCAAGAGGCAGTTTTGAAGCATAGAGAGACAAAGTTTATTACAGTGAAAGTTCACTCTTAGAGGGCGTTAAGAGCGGGTACATGTCCGGGCACACTGTGGCCCGGGAGTCTCTTTGGGTTTCTGATCAGCAAGCAATAGCGTGATCCAAAAGGGGTGGGCGTGGGCACATGTCCCCGAGGACAGTGGCACGGGTCTCTCTGCACCATCATCCCTGGTCTCTCATCTGGTCTCTCCTCCTTCCTGACATCTTCTCCTTTTTCCCTTGACCAATGGGGATGCTGTTTTCTTCCTGCTGTGGGTGGGGGTGGGGGTTCACCTTATGGTTAGGCCCGGATGTGAGGTGCGGTGGCGTCCAAAGCCCACAGTGGGGTGAGGGGCAAACCATAATATATAATGTGTCCTGTGTTGTTTCTGCCATGCTTTTTGTGACAGTTGTGGTTACCCTTATCTTTGTTATTGTTCCAGTACGTTCTCTTACTCAGCATCCCACTTCAGTTGCTTGCTTTCGTATTTTCTGTGCTCACGCCTCCCTTTTCTTATGCTCACATTCTGTGACACTTGTGGCCACCCTCATCTTGCAGTGTGTTTTCTTCGTGGGTGCCCCGCTTGTTTATACGGCCCGTTCCGTACTTCTCTGCTCAATCTCACTTTCCTACCTGCACTGACACAGAACTAAATTCACTGTGCAATTGAGCAGTGACGGCAAGTAAAACTGTGGATAATAAAATCAAAAACAGACGAGATATAGACAGACAGATATTTGGATATTTCAAAGCTGACCAAAAGAAGATAAACCCTGAATTGGAGCGTACAATATTTCTATTTTACACGAACTAGGTTTAAAACAAATGAAAAATTACAAATATAAAATATAGAAATTACAATCAGACATTCTTGCCTGATGTCTGAAAAAGTAAATTTAAAAAAATAAAAATACAATTAAAACAACAAAGGACAACTTGTCAACATGAAGCAGATTGTAAGTACAGAACATAAAGTTATAATAAAGTATCTCCCAAAGGTGACTCACCCACAAAACAATTATAGTAAAATATGTGCATATTTAAACAGATGTCCCACCATCACTACCACACATGAACAGCTTAAATAACCTTTTTTAAAAAAAAAATCCTTTCAATCAGTTATAGCCTGAATTATATCCCACCACCCACATTTATAGGATGAAGCTCTAACATCCACTGTGACTGTATTTGGAGGTAATTATGGTTAAATGAGTTAATAAGGGTGAGGTTCTCAGCACCACATGTACTCACCAGCAAATTGGTATTAACGGATCAACACCTAAGTGGACATATAGGAATAACATTTATCAGGTGTTGGGAGGGTGGGAGGGGGGAGGAGAGGAGGGGTATATACAACCACAATGAGTGAGATGTGCAACGTTTGGGGGATGGACACGCTTGAAGCTCTTACTCGAGGGGGGAGGGGGGCATGGGCAATATAAGTAACCTTAACACTTGTACCCCCATAATACACTAAAAAAAAAAAAAAAAACACTGAAAAGAAAAAGAAAAAAAAAACAAAAATAAGGGTGAGGTTCTAGTCCATTAGGATCTGTGCCCTTATAAGAAGAGGAGACACCAGGGCTCCCTCTGCCACTTTATGCACACACAGAGCAAAGGCCACGTGAGGACAGAGTGAGACAGTGCCATCTGCAGGGTGAGGAAAGAGGCCTTACCAGAAACCAACCCTGCTGGCACCTTGATCTTGGATTTCCAGCCTCTAGAACTGTAAGAAAACAAATGTCTGTTGTTTATGCTAATAATAATAATAGTAATAATAAAATCACATGTAACAACAACAAAAAAGGCTGGTAGGTAGATGGGAATACATGAAGAAATCTAGAGTTTCCTTCTTTTCTTAACAGAGATCATCCAATGTTGTCTAAAATTGAAATAAGTAGTTAAATTAAACCCTTGTCAAACTTTAAAAAAAAAAAACTTCACTTCTCTCTTAGGAAAAAGAGTCATGCCGTAAACAGAAGAAATTCAAGAATTTACAAAAGAGATTCACCACTGTGAGTGCATGAGTGACTTGGAATAACCTTTATCACCGCAGCCTCTCTGGCTGAGAAAAAGATATAGAGCATCTCGGAGCCTGCAACTGCCATTTCTGACTCATACTGCTCCCTTGCACTGGTTTTCCACTGAAAAGTGATCGAAACCCAAATCTTCTCAAGCTTGAGAATCCCATAGCCAGCTGTCCCTCCCCGTTTTCCTACTTCCTACCTGAGTCCCAGAAATGGGTGATAGAAAATCTTTAAAATGACTGTTCTCGAGCATTTCTACTTATCTCCAGAAGCATTCTGACTTTTTCAATCAAAATCTAATGACAAAATTGTGTTCACTTTAATTTTGTAAATCAACAAATCATCACCAGGAGTAGGCATGAGGACCATTTGGATGGAGGAAATGTTTTATATCTTGCCTGGGTGGTATTTACATAGGTGTATACCTTTGTCAATTCAAAGTGTATGCTTAACAGGAATGCATTTTTTGTATGTAAATTATATCTGTTTAAAAAATCAATAAGCTTCCATAAATATATTCTCTTATGATATTTAATAAAAGGGAAACAATTTATGTTCATATAAATTGACTTGATGTTATCTGAGTCAGTGAGAGATTGAACTGCTTGGAATTTCTACCTTGGGAACTCTGAATCTATTAATAGAAGAAGTGATAGACAAAACATGATAAAACTTTACTTCTTTCGGTCTAAAAAGAAGATCAGGATCACCCCTCTTTTCAGAGCCTATGGACTCTCTGTTGGCCGCTCTGGAAGAAAAACCCTAATACACTTATAAGAGCAAACTATGCATTCAATCTTATAGTATTGTTTTATTGTTTTTGTTTTTTGAGAGTTTCACTCTGTTGCCCAGACTAGAGTGCCATGGCGTCAGCCTAGCTCACAGCTACCTCAAACTCCTGGGCTCAAGCAATCCTGTCTCAGCCTCCCAAGTAGCTGGGACTAGCCGGGCACCACCATGCCCGGCTAATTTTTTTCTACATATTTTTAGTTGGCCAATTAATTTCTTTCTCATTTTAGTAGAGACGGGGGTCTCGCTCTTGCTCAGGCTGGTTTCAAACTCATGACCTTGAGCAATCCTCCTGCCTTGGCCTCCCAGAGGGCTAGGATTACAGGCGTGAGCCACTGCGCCCGGCCAATCTTACAGTATTGTTTTTAATTCTCTAAGTTACCACTTGCCATCTCCTGGGCCCTTTGTAGTAACTCCTCCACCTTTTGTCTTTCTGTGCCATCTTCCCCAGTCCAAATACTTGATGTAGAGTGGATCCCACCCAGAAATCCAGGGTTCTATTCCTAGCTGATAACTATACTATACTGCTGACCTTGACCCTGCCCTTGTGAACTTAACCCATCCAAGGTCGTCATTTCTTTCTGTGATGAAGAGGTTGGGCAGAAAAACATTGCTATAATGCTTAAATTTAATTTTTTCATTATAAAAGAAAATGGAGAAAATATAATTCAGACTATAACAGAAGCATGTAAAAAAAAAGTGAAAGTCTTTCTCTACTATTTGTCTCCATGGGATAACCATATTAATTTGGGTATATTCTTCCATATTTTTTAGGACAAAAAAATAATTATCATCAATTATATCTACTAATATAGAACTTTTTTTCTTTTGACTTAACAATATAGCACTCCATTCTTACAAGTAATGTAAGCTACATGAGAGCAAGGATTGTGACTGCTTTGTTCACTGCTATATATTTCTGGAGACTAGAACAGTGACTGGCACAAAGCAGGTACCAATAAATGTTCACTGAATGAATGAATGTGTTGCGGCAAGTGTACAGCTAGTGCCACAGCTCTTGACGGGGAAAGAACCAAGTGGCACACGAAGAGTCGGAGAACGGCCTTTATTCAGCCAGCAGGCACAGCACAGCAAACGTTACAGCTCCCATCTCCTCTTCTGATCTTCTGACCCCTCCTTCCTTGTTCTCCTCTTGCTTTTATACCCTTGGTAGGACTCAAAAAGTGTCCAATCAACTACAAGCTTTAACATCCAATCAGCAGCAAGCTTTAACATCCAATCAGCAACAGTGGGATCCAAAAGTACCCAATCAGGATGACACAGCCAGTGCAGCCAGAGTGCAGGCCAGGACAGCAGGCGGTGGCACGGGGGCCGGCCCAGCAGCGTGCCCTCCAACCGGCCCTGCCCAGCGCTGGCCCACCAGGATGTGGAGCGGCAGGGAGGTGGCGAACGGCAGTGCAGGTGCCTGACAGTTTTCCTTGTCAAATGGACATGAATCCTCCTTCCCATAAGATCAACTAGAAGTTCCATGGTGTCAGGGATGTGTCTATTTGGTCCCCTTCTATGGTTCCAGCTCCAAAATACCTGGCACATCATATGCACTTCATAAGGATTGGCTGCATTGAAAAAAAGCTTAGTGATTAAACTACCTAATTCTTTTTAGCTGCGCCAGTGTATTGACATAACACAATGTAATCAACTATTCCCCTATTGATGTAAATGTCTCTTACAAATACCATTGCAATGATCGTCCTTATACACCTACTTTTCTTTAAAGATTTTTGTAGGATAAGAATTTCTTTTGGGGGGAATCATTGATCTGGTTCAAATGGGTTCTGAAGTCCCTTCCCACTAGAATTTTGTGACTTTAAAACACTTGTGATTAATTTTGCAGCCTGTATGAGAGCTGGTTCCCATAATTAATTTTGCAAAATTATCTCCCTTACACTTCTCTCTGTGGAAGGTCAGTGTCTTCCAAAACTCTAGATACAGCCCAAACACTATAATTCACATAACAAGACTGCCAAAAAGACTGCTAGAAACAAACAGGCTGCCTGTAGCCCTGGTGATCAACATCTTCTGCATGCAACATAGTAGCAGCTTAGTCATCTTCTGGGAAACAGCATTTCTCAGGCAGCCATAGGTCCATATTGTTGATTCATTCTTTACGTGCTAAGGAGGGCTCCGCAGGAAAAGGGAAACAGACAAAAGAGTAACAGAGTCACAAGGTCCCGAGCTGGGAGAAGATGTTGAGAAACAAAGGCCACTTTGGCCTGGGTATGAGCAGATATGGGAGCTTCAGGGAATTTACAAATTCTCCAAAGTGAAGTTACAAAGTCATATTCTGACTGAGCTTTCCAATGGAAAAGACTTTCCAGAAAGCCACCTTTCTGCTTATTTAATTTTTTCACTCTAAAGACATTTAGTAAGATCTTATTATGTGTCAGAGTCACGTGAGGCTCTGGGGAGACAACAATAAGCAAGACAGAGGAGTCCTGCACCACCTTGGAATGTAAGTTTAGGGACTGCTGTGTTTCCATCGAGGGGTCTGACGTGGACAGGACAGCTTGCTGGAGGCCTCTGCCTTCTTTTCCCCAGGAAGCAGAATCTGTGTCCCAGTCACCGCTTCTCCTTCTGTGAAAAATACAGCTCCAGTTCGCTCCATGAATGGAGAAGTTGGTCAGAGGTATTTCCTTTTGAGTGCACCACAAGCAAAACTTGGTACCACACACCAAGCAAACGCACTTCCTTTTTCCCCTGGCCAGTCTTTCTGAGGCAAAGGACAGCGGTGCAGTGGTGCTTGCTGTGGGAGAGACAATGCTCAGACTCCACAAGCGAAGGGAATCCTCAAGATAATGTGGTCCTGATCCAGTAGTTTCTTAACCTTTTAATAATCACAGATCTCTTTGAAAAGCAGTGGCCCCCTTTAGACTTTCTGCACCAAAAAAGACATGCACCTATCTCAGCACACAATTTTCCCTAGGTCTTCAGGAACTTCATGGACACATCATGTGCCTGGATTTCCCGGAGCTCCAGAGACCCCATGTCCAGAATTCCTAATGTATATAAAAGCCTGTTTGAGCTCTAACACCCATGATTAACAATCTTTGGGGTGGGTAGCCCTGTTGGCTTAAATACAAAGGTAATGCCATGCCTGTTTGAGTTTGGTGCAGGTCATAGTTCAATCCCCATGTGAGCTAATTATCTTTAGAAATAGGAAGACTCTGTTTGGCCATCATGGACAGAACCTCTAAAACTGGCCAGCTGACACATCTCATAGTTTTCGAAAAAGATGATAATACCAAGCCCAAAAGTGAAGTGGTTGGATCCATGGTATTGAAAGGTGACAAACCCAGAGGGTGTCAGGATTGCTGCTCATGGCTGAATAGAGCAATAATACTCATTTGAATCCTCCAGTTCATATACGTTCTCCTCGATGGTGTAGATGTTTTCTTCCGAGCGCATCCCTGCTGCTATGGCATTTTCTAGCCCTGACGGGGGGAGGTTGGTAAAAGAGATGAGGCTGTGGAAATAAAATGTTGTGGATGAGTTACACGTTCTCTGGGTAACATTGGATTAAGAGAATAGGCTTTGCTGGAGGGACAGCAACCAAATGCAGTGCATGATACTTGGATCAGATGCTGAACAGAAGGCAAAGCCATAAAACTGCAATAAAAGAATATGGGAACAATTGAGGAAATTTGAATTAATCTTAATTTTCTTAGGTATAAGAATATTTTTATTATATATATATACTTACCAGTTGAGCATCCCAAATTCAAAAATCTGAAATCCAAGATGCTCCAATAAGTACTTCCTTTGAGTGTTATGTTGGTGCTCGAAAAATTTTGAATTTTGGAGCATTTTGGATTGTCAGATTAGAGATACTCAACCTGCACTGTTATTTCAATTCTTCTGTGGGCTTGAACAATATTAAAAGGAAAAAGAAATGAATATGTTATGAATCCAATCAGACTTGAGTTTGAATGTTGTCACTTACCAGCCATGTGACTTTGTGTTTTATGGGTTTTTTTTTTTCATTTAAGAAATATCTAGTGTGTCACACACTATTCTATGTACCCGGAGATATAGCAGTGAGCAAAACACAAAAATTCCATATAAGTTGCACATTAATGAATTTTGTGTCTTGGTCTTTACCTGTGAAAGGAAAATGATGGAAGCTGTACCTCAAAGGACCACTGGGAGGCGTACTTATTCATTCAATCATTAACACTGGCGAAGTGCCTAGTATGTCTCAGGCACTGTGCTGGCGACACAGTAGGTACTATGGTAGGCAAGTTCTTTTTATTTTTATTTATTTATTTATTTTTTGAGACAAAGCGTTACTCTGTTGCCTGGCTAGAGTGCCGTGGTATCAGCCTAGCTCACAGCAACCTCCAACTCCTGGGCTTAAGTGATCCTCCCACCTCAGCCTTCTGAGTAGCTGCGACTACAGGCATGCACCACTATGCTCTGCTAATGTTTTCCTACTTTTAGTAGAGACGGTCTTTCTCTCTTGCTCAGGGTAGTCTTGAACTCCTGACCTCAAGCAATCCTCCCACCTTGGCCTCCCAGAGTGCTAGGATTACAGGCATGAGCCACCACACCTGGCCATAGGCAAGTTCTTAATTGTCTTAATTTCTCATGGAGTTTACAATATATAAGTAAATTGATAATTTATAAGAGAAGAACATGAAGCACATAATTTCACAAATAATGAATGAATACCTGTACATGTTAGCTATGAATATTATCATATTTCTCAGTTTCAGCTCTAGTAAAGACTACTGGCATAGGTAATCTAAAAGCACTGATAATTATATATTTTATTGGACCTTATGTGACTTTTTTAGTAAAAATTATTTGTCTTCATAATACACTGTATTTTACTTACTTTAAAATTATTAGTAGTTTAGAGAGCATTCAATGGATAGTCATTTTTTCCTGAAAATATATTGCATTCTATTTATGTACCAAATGTCTCTACAACTCCAAAATCTAGTAAAAGTTATATAAGCTCTGCCTATTTGGAATGGGTGTGTGTGTGTATAGTCAGAAATGTAGATTAAGACAGGGATATCCAGTAGAACTGTGGTTCTCAGACCTGATTACCATTAGAATCACCTGGAGAGCATTTATTTATTTGTTTATTATAATATCTCCATGATATTCAAACTGGAGAGGTTTTAGAGCAATACTTAGAGTATACTTAGGCCTCGCCCCCAGATATTCTGATTCATTGCTCTGGGGTTGGCCCTTGCATCAGTAGGCTTAAGTGCCCAGGTGATTCTAATAGGAAATCAAAGTGGCAAATGCCTGGGCTGGGCTATAAAAACCCTGAGAATAGATACTGGCTTCCTTTCTTTTCATTTTCATTCAACAATTTTTTTCCTTTTTTTTTTTTAATTTTATTTTTTTAGAGACATCAGGTCTCACTATGTTGCCCAGGATCTTAAAATCCTGGCATCAAGTGATCCTCCCACCTTGACCTCCCAAAATGCTGGGATTACAGGCGTGAGCCACTGCACCCAGCGATTCTGGGTTTTTGTTCACTTCGGTGACCCCAAAGTCCAGGCCAGACCCTGGATATAGAAGGCACGCAATCAGTTGAAGGGTTGAAGTTTCAGTTCATCGGAAAAATCCATTAATTGAGAGATAAATAAGCATTTCTTATTAATAAGGAGGTAAGTTTTATACCTTTAGAACTAAGGAAGCTAGAGGTACCAGGAAGTAAACACAGCAGCATGTTAAATTTTCACTTCATAATTAGGCCTAGGGCAAAAAGGAAGTATACGATGGCCGGGGGAGGTAGCTCATACTTGTAATCCTAGAACTCTGGGAGTCTGAAGTGAGAGGACTGCTTGAGCTCAGGAGTTCGAGACCAGCCTGGGCAAAAGCAAAACCCTGTCTCTAGTGAACATAGAAAAATGAGTGGGGCTTCATGGCAAGCACCTGTAGTCTCAGCTACTTGGGAGGATGGCTTGAGCCCCGAAGTTGGAGGTTGCTGTGAGCTAGCCTGATGCCATGGCACTCTATTCAAGACAACAGAATGAGACTCTGTCTCAAAAACAAACAAACAACAACAAAAAAGGAAGTATAAGCTTTTATCCCAAAGCTCCAGGGAATAACTTTTCAGAGCACAGATCAAGCCATATTAGAGACCTCCAAGATCCCCACCTTTCCCCTACCCTATTCCATTATTCTTACCTTGAATTCTGTAACTTTTCTTTTCTATGAGAATACCCTAGAAAAAAGCAGAAAAAACAACAATAAAAATGCTTTTATAAAATAAATGAGATAAAATAATAAAATAGGCTCACCAGAGGTAAGAGTTGTTTAGGGAAATCTGGTGTATCCTTACATTGAATTAAATCAAAATCTCAGTGTGTGTCATAGTGTATTATACCTACTATGCTAGAAAGTAACAAAGATGCATTTTTCTTATTTAAAAAATATTATGGAGCATCTGCTATATGTCCAGCAGTTTGCTAAGCACTGGGAACATAAAGGTGAACTGTGAGCCCTAACTTCATGAAGCTTGCATTCTAGTGGAGACAAAACAAACAAAAAGACAGAAAGACAGGAAAGAAGAAAGCAATCAAGCAAGAAAGAAAAGGAAGACAGGAAAAAAACACAGCAAATATGAAAATAAAATAGTTTCAAATTGTGATGAATTATTAAGAAAACACAACACACTGAAACAGATAATAAAGAAGGTGGTCGGGGAAGAACTCTCAGAGATGACCTTTAAGCTCATTCTGAAAGAAGAGAATGATGCAGCCAAGTAAAAAGCCAGGGGGAACATTCCAGGTACAGAGAGCTCCTAGGAAAAATCTTGGCAAGTGCCTGAAACTAAAAACATGGCTAGATTAGGAAAGTGACTCAAGCTAAGGTCTGAAAGGTAGGTTGGGGCTAGTTCCTCTAGAACCTTTTCAGCCATAATCAGGAGTTTGGATTTTATTCTAAGAACTCTAGGAAATCATTGAAGGACAGAGACATAATCTGATTTGGGTTGTAATATCACACTGGCTATTATGTGGAAAATGGATTAGAAGGAGGAAGAAAGAAATGAGATAAGTAGAGATGATGAGAGATGATGGTGCCTTGGAGTAAGGTGGTGGCCAAAAGAGTTACAGAATAATGAAGGATTTTATATATATTTTGGAGAAAAGGTGCAGGAATTGAAGTTGGATTGCTTATTAGGAGTGAGGACAGACTGGATTCAAGGATGACTTCTCCATTTCTGGTTTAAGCAACCAGATGGATGATGGAGAAAACCAGAAGGGTGAGGCTGAGTTCTGGGAAGGTGAAATGCAGAATCTAGAGCTCCACTTTGCACAGGTTAAATGTGTGAGACATCAAAGTGGAGCCATGAACTGGACAGTTAGACTAACAGTACCAACACTTTAAGATTTGGAGAGAGAAATTAAAGATGACATTTAAGTCACAAGAATAGATGTTATTACCTAGAAGGTTTATTAGAGAGAGGAAAAGGGCCCAGTTCTGTGGAATCTCAACATCTAAAGAACAGGCAGAGGAAGAACTGAAAAGGAATGGCTAATCAGGTAGGAGAATGGTGTTTCGGAAGCCAAGAGAAGGGAGCTTTCTAGAATGAGTGGAGGTCAACTTGGAAGAATACTGATTAAAGATTGACTGCAATGAGGATGAGGGTATCTATTACATGTAGCAAAATGGAGGTCACTGGTGAGCTTGACTACAACCATTTCCATGGCTCTTCAGGATAGAAGCTGGATAATGGTGGGTGGAAGAATACAGAAGGGTGAGAAGTAGGGACAATTCTTTTGAGAAGCATGGCTGTGAAGGAGAGTGGAGAAACGGGAGTAGTCAAAGAGGAATGCATAGACTAGAACATACATGCTAATGAAAATAGTAGTGTAAGTGGAAAAGAAGAGACAGATGATTCGGAAGAAAGGAATAAACAGAGGGATGAAGTCTTGGCAAAGGCAAAGAAGACAGAACAGTTGATATTGCATCAGTTAACAGAGGGACAGAGGAGTTTTGAGTGGCAGTGAGGTGGTCACCTCAGAGAGGGCACTAGAAACATGTAGGATTTTGGGACATTATTGAGGGCTAGTTTGTGTCTATGAGGTTTAACTTAAAAATCTGTCACCATGATTGTAAGATTTTCTCCAGCAACTTCCAGGGAAAAGATTGCAAACTGATCAGGACTCTTCATCTGTTCTTCTTCTAAGTAGCCATGTTTTTTGGAGTAATATACATTATATGTGTGTGTTCAAAGCATTAGATTTCTCCCATGCCCCATTATCCTTTACACAAGCTAGAATGGCCCCTAATATACAGGCCTTGGAAAAACTCAAGAAAGTAGGAGTGTTATCATTGCTTCTTAACTGCCCAAGGCTTCATATTCATGTGATCAACTCACAAATTCTACTACTATCTCTGGGCAAACCCAGGTAAGTATGGGTGGGGTGGTTTCTTTCTCTGGAAACCATTTAACAATAAGTGGCAGAAAACATAATGGTGGAGAGTACAACAGCCCAAATTTCAACACCTGTATCTATCGATTAACAGTGTGTATTTGGGCAAGTTACTTAACCTTTCACTATGCTGATTCTCCACTGGAATCACATTAGTAATTAATACCCATCTCATAGAGTAGTTACATGGGCTTAATGCACGTAAAGCACTTGGCAGCTTCAGGCCACAGTTAGGATAACCAACTCATCCCTGTTTTCCTTAGACATTTCCAGTTTTAGCACTGCAAGCCCCATATTTTAGGAACCCCCTTCAGTCCTGGGCCAATCTGGATAGCTGGTCACCTCACACCTAGTCCCTGGTTGTGAATTAGTAAGAAAGGCTGCTATAATGTGTTATGCTCTGGGGTATAAGCCTGGGCCTCTGCCCTCAAAGAAGAGAAAACATATCCAATTATAAAAGTGTGTGAGGCTTTTGGGGTAATGGAAGTATTTGAATTTTTCCCCTTTTTCCCTAAAAACGAGTGTTGGGTCTTGATTGTGGCAATGGCTCCCACTGTAATTATCCATCAAAATTCATCACGTTGAACACACTTTATATATGTAGTTTATCATATATAAATTACACTTTATAACATTTTTTAAAAATAAAGATAACTAACTTAAAAGAAAACTATGTGTGCTAAGTGTCATGATGGAGGAGAACCTTCTGTAACCTGGTCATGACCCAGTGGTAAAGGGATCTTCTACGCCTCTCTAAAGAGCTATACTTGAGAAACAAATGACAGAAAACGGCATAGAGGGAAGTAGCTTTTTGTGGTTGCATTTCCTAATAAACCTAGACATATTATGATTTAAAAGATTCGTTTTCTTAACTAAAGATAAGGGAACAGATACTGGAATCAGCCTGCCTGCATTTGAATTCCATTTACTAATTCAGTTTTGTTTTGTTTTTTAAGTCCAATTCACATAGAGGACAACCTACTGATTCTGAAACCCTGGGAAAATGACTTTACTCTGAGCTTTACTTTCCTTCACTGTAAAATGGGAATGATAATACTATGTATCTTATAAGATGATGATGATAAAATGTATGGAAAACATTCAGCATAGTGCCTGCCTGATGCAGGGTAAGCACTGAATAAAAGTTAGCTATGATTGTTAGGATCTGGCAAGGTAAAAGGATATTTAGTCTAAGGACCGCTAGGTATAACTATAAACTTACATTTCTATACTGGTTCCTACAGTAACAGTTCCTTATCTGAGGGAGAGAAGCAATGTTAAATAACTTACATTTGAAAATTAAAGCACCAAAGATAAGAGTGAGAGCCAGCCCAGCAGAGATCCCTGCTCCAATGTAGACAGCTATTCTGCTGGACACTCCAGGGTCTTGTAATTCATTAGCCAATGTGGATATTTGCTGTGGAAACACAAACAGAATTTAAGCAGCCAAGGGCCGAATCAGTTGTGTACTTACTCTCACGATTAGCAAATCAGACCATCCCTTTTACAACATCTCGGGATTACAGGGTCCTTGAAACCACCCTTGATCTATCCCCTTCTAGACAAGCCTCAAACCACTCCAAGAAACAGATTAGCTTAATCTTTGGAGTTAGCAAGAAAACAAATGTGTCCTTCTGTACTGTGGGTGGAAAAGGAGCCCTTAATAAATGGATCCTTAGCCCCCAAAACAAAAATAGGCTTTAGAGTGGAGTTCTATTGGTTCAAGATCCCCTGGAGCTCCCGAGGCAATTTTAGAGCAATCTACCTTTGGTGTTTTATGTTCACAAAAAGACAGTGATTCAAAAGCCAGCAGGACTTTGCAGCCAGACAGTCCTGGGATCAAACCCCAGCTCTGTCACTAAGAGCTGAGTGACCTTTAGAGTTATTGGGAAAATTAAGTGACAAAAAATATAAAATGAGTAGCACAGGGCCTGGTATATAACAAATATTTAGTCAGTGGTAGCTATTATTGCTATTGCTATAATTAATTTGATTTTCTGATAACTTGAGAGTCACATTTAAAAATCCTCCTGTTTCTAAAATTTTAGTCCATGTCTTCCTTTTTAAAAACAGTAATTATAGTTTTAAACAAAGAAGTCAAAGAAGTTAAATCTTCTATTTATTCAATGCACATTACTCCTGTAAGAGCAGGAGTCTCGTATGCAAATTATTGTTCATAAGGCACTGTGAGCAGTCCTTGACCACAGAGAGGGGAGGGATGGACACAAGACGCTGATCATCAGTTGTGAATACACAAGTAGGAGACCGGAGGAAATAATGTGGGCTCCTGGAGATGTCTTCAAAGAATTTTTAAGTCACTGCTGCAAGTGCACTTTCTAGTGGTTTTTCTTTTACTCAGAGAAGCTTGGGGGGAGGGGCATTAAAATTGTGGTTAATTAAATTATTGCTTTATTTATAGCTAAATATATAAATTTTTGGCCTTGAATATTTCTGGTTGGTGTCTTATCATATATACATTTAAAAAATTTAAATAAGCCAATAATCTTTCCCATCAGGACTGCAATGGAAACAAGGAGAAATATGTTCTTGGGAGACAAAGGGTCTTTGAAAGTTCCCCAGGGCACACAGTTGTGCAATTGGAGCAGAGGGACCAAACGCTAGTGTTTCATCTTGTTGGTGTTCAAGCACCTACTATGTGCCAGGCACTTTACACACATAACCCCCTTCCTTCCTTCCAACAGGCCTATATGCAGTCAGAACTGTATCATCAACATGTTCCAGCCAAGGAATCTGAAGCTAAGGGAGGTTCAGGCCTTTTCCCCAAGGAAAGGATGGGCAGGAAGGAAATCTAAAGCCATACTTTTTTTTCCTCTGAGTTGAGTATGATATTAGCTCAACAAAAAAAAGTTACTTACTGTTTGATTTTTATCATGGAGGATCCCCAGTGTCTGTGTTTCTGCTAAAAAAAAAAGAAAGGAAAAATAGCCAATAGAATAGTTAAGAATGTTTTCTTTTATCTAAGTTTAATAAAAAAAAATCTTAATAAAAAAATCTTAACGATGCTTATAATACTACTTGAAACTAATTCTACTCCATACTCTTCACAATCATTAATTGGGAGACCAACAAAATTTACCGAGTACTTTCAAACCAACTTTAGGATAACCATATTTTTTTCATCTAGATAATGAACCCTACTGTTTTAAATGGAGACTTCTGCCAGAACGACCTGTGTTAAATATATAGGTTGGGGGTTTTTTGTTGTGCTTTTTTTTTTTTTTTTTTTGAGACAGGGTCTTGCACTGTCGTCCCAAGTAGAGTGCAGTGGTGTCATCATAGCTCACTCAACCTCAAACTCCTAGGCTCAAGCAATCCTCCCGAGTAGCTGGGACTACAGGCGCACGCCACAATGAAACACTAATTTTTCTATTTTTAACGGAGGCAAGATCTTGCTGTTGCTAGGTTGGTCTTGAACTCTCGACCTCAAGCGATCCTCCTGCCTCGGTATCTCAGAGTGCTAGGATTACAGGTGTGAGCCACCTTGTCTGGCCTCAGTCATTATATTCTAACTAGCTTTTGAAAGACAACAAAAATTCATTTTTTAGGAGATTTCACATTTATACATTAGAACTGCAGTCCCACCCCCCAATACCAGTCCTCCGGCAGTGGCTCACGCCTGTAAAACCACTACCCTGAAGTAGGGACTGTTAGCCCCATTGCATAGATGAAGCAGCAGAGAATGAGGGAAGTCAAGTGACTTACCCAAGGTCACACAGCTTAGCAAATGAGAGAAATGGACTTCCAGTTTAGGTCTACATGGCTTTAAAAACACTGTTAACTATACTGCCTTCAACAACCTTCACCTCAGTATTGTCACTGCTCTGAAGAGGGTCACATTGCTCAGCTGTCAGCTCACCATCTTTCCTCTCTGTTAATTTATTTATTCATCTGCTTATCTATTCAATGAATATGTGCTAACCCCCTACTCTATGCCAGGGATAGGGGACAGAGCCGGGAATGAGACAGGCACAGGCCCTGACCTCATAGACACTGCATTCTGAAAACAAAGAGGTTGTCAGCTATGGGAAAACTAAGCATGCTTACTCATTTCTGGCTGAGTCAGAGGCTTTGAAACTCCTTAAATGTCACTGTTACCTTCTGGAAGCCTTAAAGTCTAAACCCTTTAATGTGTGTAAAGGGTTTGACTAAATGCGGGTTTAACAGACTATACTTTAAATATTATAAAAACATAGTCTCAGCCTAAGATTATTTAAGAAAAAAAATGAAGAAAGAGACTATGTTTCTCATACCTTTGCTCTTATTGCCTGAAAGAAATTTGAAGTATAAAAACCACATTGTGGAACTGCTAAGTAAACATGAATCTTAACTGTGCACATTTTCAAATCCAGTTTCTGCTTCCCTATGATTAGTTTTCTTGATATAAATGGTAAGATTGACAGAGTGACTTCCTTTTTTTTGTCTCCTAACTTCATTTTGCTGTGAAAATTATCTGTAAAATCGAGCACTGTTGTGTTATCACAGCTTTTTCCCCACACAGATTTGGCCATCACCCAAGATAGGTGACAGAGTGGAGGAATGGCAGCGTTGATCCTGGAGAACCCGAGGTTTGGCTGGGTGGGCGCAGTGGTGAGGTGAGAGGGGATGGCCTTAAAACTATATAAATGGGCCCTGTGCGATGGCTCACACCTGTAATCCTAGCACACTGGGAGGCCAAGGTGGGAGGATCGCTTGAGCTCAGGAGTTTAAGACCAGCCTGAGCAAGAGTGAGACTCCGTCTCTACTAAAAATAGAAAGAAATTAGCTGGACAACTAAAAATATATAGAAAAATATTAGCCAGGCGTGGTGGCACACGCCTGTAGTCCCAGCTACTCAGGAGGCTACGGCAGAAGGAGAAGCCCAGGAGTTTGAGGTTGCTGTGAGCTAGGCTGATGCCACGGCCATCAGCCGTGGTGAGATTCTGTCTCAATAAAACAAAACAAAACAAAACAAAAATACTATATAAATGTAGTAGTTACCATCTATTCAGCACTTATAAGTAGCATGTGCCAGACATGGTGTTTAGAGCTATACACATATAGTCTCATTTAGTCCTCACCACAGTAGGTAGGTACTGTTATTTTTCCTGTTTTTTAGATAAAGAAACTGGGGCTCAGAGAGCTACTTTTCCCAAGATCACACAGCTGTTAGTTGGGAAAGCTGGGATGTAAACCAGGACTACTCCAGAGTTGAGGACTCTCCCAAGACCCAGTCAGCCCTTCCTCCTTCAGGTCAGAGAGATCACATTTGTTCTGTGTTCAAAGTGGGTTTAGGAGATGTCACACCCTTGGATCTCTTACTTTTAAAGGTTCCCCTCCATTTTATATCAAATATATTAAATGCACGTACATCTCACATTAAACAAAAGGTATAGATTACATAACAGTTGACTTGCCAATGGCTGATGGACATGTTGCATGTTAATATTATAGATAAGCCATTAAATAGTCATTAATTTTAATTTTTCATTTTATTTTCCTGTTTTGGAGCCACTGCTTTATTTTTGTTTGTTCAAATATTTTTCTTAGTCAGGTTCTTGAAAAGCTCAGAGATTTGAGGTATTTGCATCCCCTGATGCAAAATGTGGCCACATTTTTGTTGCCCTAGAAGGAAGGACTGAACAAGTAAAAGCTAAAGGGTAGGAGACACATGCCCATGGTACAGATGAGCATAAGGAAATGCACCACCTCCTCTCACCTCCTGAAGGAGTGGTCGCCCTACACAGAGAATGTCCACTTGGTGGTGATGCAAAGAGCCTGGAAGCACAGGATGGGAAAGGGAGACCACAGGACCCCTGCAGTCCCTTTTGGGTCTGTGGTTGTGGGATTCTTTAAAATATAACAATGGCGTACCACAATGTGAGTAATCATCTGTTCCCACCACATTTAATTTCCTCACTAACTAATTGCCTAAAAGATGTTGGGTACCAATCACTAAAAAACCAGCAAAGATTGAACCCTGGGAGAGCTAATATGAATAACTATAATAACTATCATGTGAGTGCTTTCTCTGGGCCAGATACTGTGCTGAGCATTTTACATACATTAGCATGTTTCATCTTTACAACAGCCTCATGATGAGTGCACTGGAATTATCCCCATTGTAGAGAAGAGAAAACTGAGCTTGACTTTACTTAGTTCACAGAGCTAGTAAGAAGAGCTGAAATGAGAACCCATTCTCCCTGTCACTGAAGTACTTAACCACAAGCTCATTCATTTTTTTTTTTTTTTAAATAATAGAGACAGGTTTCGCTCTTGCCCAGGCTGATCTCGAACTCCTGAGCTCAAATGATCCACCCGCCTCGGCCTCCCAGTGTTAGGATTACAGGCATGAGCCACCGCGCCCAGCCACTCCACTCCTCTTAAACTGTCTCTCCTCTTCTAACCATATTCAAAATCCTCTGAACTCAGAAACCGGCTAAAGGCTTCCTCCTACACTTCGTGTGTAATTACCTGAGTCACGTCCCCCGCTGGTGGTTGGCATCCTTGGAAAGGCCACAGTGACGTGTCTCTGCAGAGTCGTAGCAGGGGTGACCTTGGCTACTGTCAGAAACCAACATAAGGATGAGACTTCTCTGAGAGCAGAGAGCTTGTTTCAGGGAATCAAAGGGGCAGCAGAAAACATGTGAAAGACAGCAAGTGAAGGGAAATACACCCTCAGCTTCCAAACCTGCCTGGACATCTTTGTTGAGAGTATATTACACACTTCAAATGTTTGACAGAGATGAGATGCCATCATCATCGTCACATTCCAATTGTTAATAATAGAACTAACAGTCACACAAATGGCCACACTATAGGCTGAGTTCACAGAGCTGGTGAACTAGCTCAGAGTAGCCCTTATCCAAAAAGCTTACACTCAGAAGGGTTTTGGATTTCATATGTTTTTGGATTTTGAAATACTTGCATTATACTTATGCTCCAGTAAGCATAATGCTCCAATGAGCATTTCCTTTGAGTGTCATGTTGGTGTTCAAAAAGTTTCAGATTTTGGAGCATTTTGGTTTTGGGATATGGGATGCCCAACCTATGAATGCTTTGCATAAAATATTATCTTATAAAATCCTTTCTGCTACTACTTCAGTGGATTAAAAAGAAAATCCTTCCAGTGGCCCACATGATAGGAATGATTATCATATTTTACAGAGGAGGACGACACAGAGTTTAAATAACTTGCCCAAGATTATATAGCTAGTAAGAGGTAGAGTTGGATTTGAACTTGACCCTGTCTGGCCACAAAGTACATGCTCTATAAATCTTAAAACATGCAAGCCAATTTACCTCCTAGCATCTATGCAAAATCTGGGGGTTCACAATCCTGGCTGCACCTAGAGTAGAATAAGCTAGGGCAGACTTTGTAAAAGGCTAATTCTTAGTTAGATTCTACCTCCAGAGATACTGAATTCTCTAGTTTGTGGGTGGGGCCCAAGCATCTGTAGTTGCTAAAAACCCTCCAGGTGATTCTAATGAGCAGTCAGGGTCTCCAACCACTGACCCAGGCCTTTCTTCCCATTCTATAGAACCAGCATGAGTTTTAAAACAGAGGGTATTAAACACCACTGGGCATCACTGATGGGGCCAGTTAAACTTTAGGTCTTGGGGTCCCACCTCCAGGACTATAATTAGGGAGATTAGAGGTGAGAACAATCATTGTATTGACTATGATCCTCCGATGAATCTCATGCAGAAAGAAGGCATGCAAAGGTCCACTCACCTGGTTTGATGACCAACTTCAGGTCGAACTTTTTGTCATTCATTAGGCCTGGGACCTGGATCCGGCAGCAATAGGTCCCGCTGTCTACTAGAGTCACATTCTCTATGGTCAGGGACACGTCTCCTTTGCGGAAATCCCCCTTTAGCCAGTATCTGCTGGATGCCTGATGGGTCATGTCCCTTTCATCAGTGTTGAGGACCGAAGTGCCACATCCAAGCGCAGGACAGGCTCCCTTGCCCCAGCATACAGGTATGAGGTGCCCTGGGGTGGTGGGAGTGTAGAAGCAGGGCAGATTGGCATTCTGACCCACTTCCACTATGTATTCAGCTTCCAAAGACCCTGTACAGAGAGGGAGGGAAATCCAAGACCCAGGCAACGAGTGAGGGTAGTCTATCTCAGGAAAACTGCAAGCAAGCCTTATAGAATAAAGATGAAACCCCTAAAAATAAAATACACAGTTTAAGAAAGAGGAAACCACTGTTGCTGTCCTGTTTGGTGGATGATTCACTATGACAATGCTTCTCAGACTTGAGAAGCATTAAAGTCACTGAGAAACCATTTTAAAACAGATTACTGGCTAGGTGCAGTGGCTCACACTTGTAATCACAGTACTTTGGAAGGATGAGGCAGGAGGACCACTTGAGCCTAGGAGTTTGAGACCAGCCTGGGCAATATAGTGAGATCCCAGTCTCTGAAAAAAATTAGAAAAAATAGCCAGGTGTGGTGGCGCATGCCTGTAGTCCCAGCTACTCAGAAGGCTGAAGCAGGAGGATCGCTTAAGCCCAGGAGTTGGAGGCTGGAGTGGGCTACAATTGCTTTATTGCTAGAGTTCCTGACTCAGCTGGTCTTGGGTAGAGCCTCAGAACTTATATTTCTTTTTTTTTACTCCAAAATTCATATATTTAAAGAGAACTTGTATTTCTAACAAGTTCCTAGGTGTTAATGACACAGCTAGTCCTGGAACCTCACTTTCAGAACCACTGCCCTAGCAGAGAATTGTAGACCAGTTCTATGAACATGAGAATTCAGGGCTGATGGAAATAAACAATCAGAAAATGGGTTATGGCCAGGCGTGGTGGCTCATGCCTGTAATCCTAGAGCTCTGGGAGGCTGAGGCAGGCGGATCGCTCAAGGTCAGGAGTTCGAAACCAGCCTGAGTAAGAGTGAGGCCCCATCTCTACTAAAAATAGAAAGAAATTAATTGGCCAACTAAAAATATATAGAAAAAATTAGCCAGGCATGGTGGCACATGCCTGTAGTCCCAGCTACTTGGGAGGCTGAGGCAGAAGGATTGCTTGAGCCCAGAACTCTGAGGTTGCTGTGAGCTAGGCTGATGCCACAACACTCTAGCCTGGGCGACAGAGTGAGACTCTGTCTCAAAAAGAAAGAAAGAAAGAAAATGGGGTTGTTGTCATCCAGGAAAACAGCCTACCCATCTAGGCTAGTTGTCTTCATCAATGAAGGGTGGTTATTCTAACATAAATCTCTTTTTTCAAAGCACCAGGTACACAATGAATAAAAAACACTTACAAATAAGAAGCCTGAAGTATATCTGAAACTAATCACAGGTTGTTTTGAGGTTTAAAGTTAATTCCTTAGAAAAAAAAAAAAAAAACCCTACACATATATACACATACTTGTAATATAATATAAAACAATCAAACAGTAAAAAAGGTGTATGAAAAATATGACTTCCTCTTCCAACGCTACGATTTCCCAACTCCTTCTCCTAGAGCCTATACATTAAGAAGTTTTAACATATTCCTGCTCCCCTACAATGCATGCACACAAATAGAAGCCTAATGTATGCATTATTTTGCACCTTGCCTGTTTCAATAACATTGTAACTTGGAGACGTTCTCTACCAGTATGTTTAGTTAGCCTCACTGTTTGCATCATGGATACATCACATTGATTCACCCATCCCTCACTGCTGGACATTTAGGTTGCTTTCAAACTTTTGCTATATACAAATAACATTATGATGACCACCCTAATACCCCGTCTGCACTCCGTACACCATTATTCAATTGTAAATGTTCATGCCCAGACTTACCTGCAGTAGAAGCAGTAGCAGCAGCAGACACAGTCAAGAAAAAGATGTGACAACATGGTTCTGCAGAAGAAAAGTCAAAAAAGACAGGCTCTGTGAGGCACAGTTTTCACTCTCCAATTGAACTGGTACTTCCTCCCACTGTCTCCTCCACGATGATCACATAAGCCAGTAGCCACCCTCACTGAACACCGGCCCAGCACAGAGGGGTGTCTGCCACCAGTGATTCCTATATTAACACTGCCAGCTCTACAGTACACTTAAAGGAACCCCAGCTCTCTGTCATGCCGCACGACACACATCCCGTAAGCGTTCTGATGTTTATCCTGTTATATCATCAAAGAGGAAGCAATACTGCAGAAGAAGAAGAGTATTAGTCATGGCAAGTAGAGACAGCCCTCTAATATCTTAGATGAAATAGGCCTGCAAAGGACTGGTGCAAGCCAGCTAGTTAATAGGGAACACAAAGTATAGACATATCATTGTTCATTCATTCATTCATTCAAGTCAGTCCATCAGGCAGGTCTGTGACTAATGTTTATGAAGCCCCTACTTGTGCCAGGCACTGAACCAGGAGCTGGAGAACACAAAGATGAATGACATGTTTCTTATCTTCACATTATTGTCCATTCCACTCCAGTCATGAGCCTAATGCTCACCCTTACTCTCAACACAGATTAGTCGTGTCATATAATCTTGCCAGGCCTCAGTCCCTTGTTTATAAAATTATAAATGAGGGCCGGCGCGGTGGCTCACACCTGTAATCCTAGCACTCTGGAGCCGAGCAGCGGACTGCTCAGGCAGGAGTTCGAAACCAGCCCGAGCAAGAGCAAGATCCTGTCTCTACTATAAATAGAAAGAAATTAACTGACCAACTCAATACATACAGAAAATTAGCCACGCATAGTGGCACCTGCCTGTAGTCCCCAGCTACTCAGGAGGCTGAGGCAGAAGGATCGCTTGAGTCCAGAGTTTGAGGTTGCTGTGACTAGGTCTGATGCCACAGCACTCACTCTAGCCTGGGCAACAAGCGAGACTCTGTCTCAAAAAAAAAAAAAAAAAAATTATTAAATGAGGGAATTGCTTGATAATGTATGCACAGCTCTTGTAATATTCTGACTTTGACTTCAAACTTTCAAACTCTGCAATTTAGGAAATACATGTCCTCCACAATCTCTTTTTTTCTACTCTAAGTGGAGTTGAGGGCCCTCAATATTCTGTTTCATCTCATGCACACAAGAGTCCCCTTCATCCCTTTTTCCATACAAATATTGGGTGTGAATTGTCAGAAATGCTGAGTTCCGACCACAACATCCATTTACTAAGAAAATATCTCAGACTCCAGGTAGTTTAACACTGGAGAGTGTTTTTACAACAAGGGAATGATCTCAGACTGAGCGGTTCTGAAAACCCAGTGGCCTTCCTCTACATCTTGCCTTCCTGAGTTTTCTTGTCACTCACCTCTATGCACTAAATGCTTTAAATATAAATACCCAACTTGTTCAGTGGTGCTAATACTTCCCATAAGCATCACAGCATGGCAGTTACTCAAGAGATTCATAATCAAATTTCTCATTTTTATAGACAAAGAATCTGACTCCAGAAGATTGATTTGCCCAAAGGACACATGATTGGTGATTTAGAATGAGAACACAAAATCTTAAAGTGCGTAGATTTTCCTACTATCAACTATGTTTCATTAATTTGATGTTTGTCCTTAGTATGCTCTGCCACATAAACTGCCACTAACCAGCAAATGTCCATATTCAAGTGTCAAGGCAGAGTAGAAGTTAAACATGAGATCAGGGTCACTGTCACCAGCAGTATGACTTTGTTTTGCCAAGACTCTTAAAGCACTTTAAATCACTGACCTTCATTTTTTTTTTTTTTTTTTTTATGATACAGGGTCTCGCTCCATTGCCTGGGCTAGAGGTGCAGTGGCATCATCATAGCTCACTGCAACCCCAAACTCCTGGACTCAAGTGATTCTCCTGCCTCAGCCTCCCGAGTAGCTAGGACTATAGGCATGTGCCCACCATGTCTGGTAATTTTCTGTTTTATTGTAGAGACAGGGTCTTGCTATGTTGCTCAGGTGTCTCAAACTCCTGGCCTTAAGCAGTCTCCTGCCCTGTGCCTCCCAGAGTGCTGGGTTTACCAGGTTGTAGGCAAGAGCCACCACCCTTGCCTGACCTTCACTTTCTGTGTTTGTTTTCATTCCTTTGTCTTCTACCCATCTCTAGAATTGCTCTGATACCAGGTTTACAAAACAGTAACAATTTATAACTCATTAAAGTCTAGATATGAAGGAGCCTAGAGATCTTTTCTACCCTTTCTTCTTTCTTTTGTAGGGGACTGCTTCTGAACATTATCATGTTCATTTAACTTTTATTTCATGTTTATTTTTTTAAAACTGTTTAGTAATACCTTCAAATTGCTAAAAAGTTCAAGCAATATAAAAGCTTGTATTAGGAAGCCTTGTTCCCACCCCTCCAAAATCTACCCCCATTTTTTCCACCACCCTATAGGTTTTCATTTGCAGGAATGTCTTGCAATGCAATGCACTCCCAATGCAAACACAAGAAAATGAAATATATATCTCATTCCCTGCTTTCTTAGACAAAATGTAGACCTATATATACTTTTTGCACCTTGCATTTCTTTTGCTATTTTATTAGCTAATGTATTTTAAACATATCCCAGATGTCATTTATTTCACCCCTACAGAATCATAGTAGATCTTCTTTTAGCAAATGGACCTTCTGTCCTCCTTGCCACTCTGTTTAAAAGAAAAAATTTTAATGGTCATTCTTGCTATGTAATCACAATACCCCACATAGCAAAGTTACTGACAATGTCTCAGCAGCACCTAATACTTCAGGTCCATAGTCAAATTTCCTGTTATCTCAAAAACCATCCTGTCCAGCTGGTTTGTTTAAATCCAGACCTAGACAAGTTACCTATGTGCATTTGGTTATGTCTCTGAAGTCTGTTTTAATCTAAGACAGTCATCCCTCTTTTCTTCTGCCATAGACTCGTTTATACAAACCAGTTTTGTCCTGTGGAATATTCCCCCTCTGGATTTGTCTGTTTACCTTGCAGAGTCATTTACAATGTTCCTCTTTTCTTTGTATTTCCTGCAAATGAAACATAGCTTACAGGTTGGGTCAGAATCGGGGTATGAAATGAAACTTAACTTTAGAGGTTCGTCAGAATCGGGTTTGACATTTTGGCAAAAAAAACATATCACAGCTGGTGCTCCGTTGTTTCTCTTGCATCCATTGTCTGC